CCACCTTATACATAGTGAAGTTAACTGTTTCACTTGATACTAGTTTCGCCTTTTCCAAAGGGCATCATCAGTCAGATCAGGACAAAAACTTTTTTCTCTCTCCTTTTAAGCAGAGGAGAAAAAAGACACATGTAAACTAAACAAAAATGTAATCTGATAATAAACTGTCGTTGCTGGATGTACTGGTGAAAGGGAAACTAATGAAGTGATTACCTCTGTCTGTCGCAAGCCTACGCGGACTATATTTAAAACGGACGAGTAATCAGCAGAGGAATTCCAAAATCAATCTCATAAAATGTCTGTGTACTCATGCAAAAAGAATTCGCTCGTCTAAAGAATAATGGACTATGTTACATTTTTGTATTCTTTACATGCTCCTTTGCTTAAAAGGAGAGAGAAAAAAGTTTTCGTCCTGATCTGACTGATGATGCCCTTTGGAAAAGGCGAAACTAGTATCAAGTGAAACAGTTAACTTCACTATGTATAAGGTGATGTTAGTCTTATTATCGATTTTGAAATTCTTCATGATTCAAAACGATTCAAAAGTCACGTATTTTGTCTTCCTAATTTTCGTTCATTATTCAATGAGGAAGAGCACGAAAACATGTGCTCTTTTCAAAACAAAATACATGGTTCGATTCGCTATAGTACTCTGAGTACACCTAAATAACGTTGAGAAGGTCATATTTCACTTAAGTGGAAAAAGCTCTTCGAATTATTCCACTTATACTACTATACTTTTTCCACTTATACTACTAACACTTATACTAACACATGGCGTTTTGACATACATGTCATTCGATTCGAATGACATGTATGTCAAAACGCCATGTATTAGTATGAGAGTGTCGAAATTAGAAAGAAAAAATATGTGGCTTGTTGAAACTAGGAAAGGACCAGAGTGCCCAGATCTCCTGATTTGACTAGGAGACTCCTGATTTTTAAGATTTTCTCCTGGTTTTCAATTGTTTTCCTGCATCGATTTTTGATTTTTCCGAAACTGAGATTATCAGTTTCAGAAACAGAATTTCTGGATCAAGAGTCTAAATAATTGTACATTGAAAGAGCCCGCTGTGTGCTTATCGAATGTTCTCATCACAAGAAGATGAGATTAGTGAACTTCCAAACCCATCGGATCAAATCTTCTTCCTCAATCCGTACTGCAGTCTGTAAAAAATGATAATACTGTTTCATCAAAAAATATTTCAAAAAAAAAGTTTTTTGAAGAAAACTATATTTTAGAAAAAGCTATTGGATTTTTTTGTTTTGCTTGTCCAAGAAAAAAGCGCCGTATACTCTCCTGCTTTTCTCCTGATTTCGAAAAAAAATCTCCTGATTTTCCTCCTGATTTTTCAGAAAAAATCTCCTGATTTCGAAAAACTGGATTTGGGCACCCTAGAAAGGACATGAAAGCAAAAATTTCTAGACACATGTCTTTTCTTTTGTTCTCTTCCCTGTATACTAGAAAAGGACATTATATAAGATGAATATGGGATATATATAATGTTGAAACGATATACGCTAAATGATCGTTATCGCCGTTAAAGCAAAGAATCAATGTGTCGCTATTCAGATAGTGTGAGTAGTCGGCTAATTAATCGTATTTCTTTCTCTTTCTCTTTCTTCGATTATCGGCTTATTGCCTCATCTGACATGTTGGTCACTGAACAAGTTTACGACAGAAACAAAGGTGACTTATATGATTGTTTTAAAGCGACTAAAACGATGGGAAAAGGGAACGACTAAACGATGAATCGGTTGTTCTAATTGATCATTATTTAGAGAAATATAAGCAAGAGTAAACGATGTATCGATAAGTCCGTACACACAAATTGGTTAATCCAGTTATATAAATTAAAGGTCTTACACTTGAACATTATAATCAGTTTGTATGACAATGATACATGAAAATTGGATATATAAATGCATGTATGGAACAAGGATCAGCACAATCAATAAAATAATTTTTCACAAATGTCCTACGACGACAATCAAATTTCAAGTCCGGTTGTTAAACGAAGGCGGAGAACCACTACATCATCGTCATCCACATCCAGTACTTCACAACCGCTGAATACAATAAGTACCGCAACAATATTCTCTTCTCCGTCTGGATCTACAATCTCGCGAGATACGCCGTTAACAAGAAAGAAACGTAGTGCCGCATGGCGTTATTTTAACCAGAACGAAAATGATTCATCGCAATGTATATGTAATTTATGCAAAGTCGAAATAAAACGTTACGGTAAGTAGATATAGCTTAGTTTTATTTTTTTTTCCAACTCATATCCATCATGGTGTTTCTTTTCCATTTCGATCTGATTATACAATTAACTGGAGCCTTTGCATGCGTAGTGGGCGAAAAATTGTATTCCTGAGTTTGCCTAAAATTTATTTTTCTTCATCAGGATCACATAATGCTTGTATTTAAACTCGCGTGATAACTGCTTTAACCATATTGATGATCCAACATATATCATGACTTTTAGGTAATGGTACTAGTGCTTTGCTAGAACACCTCTCATTAAAACATTCCAATGAATATAAAGTTGTACGAGATGGAATTGATCGGAGCAAACCCCAAGCAAGACAGCATTATTTACCAATTGATAGTGAACGTAGTAAATACGTAACAAAACTCATAATGGAATATTTGCTATATGAATTATTACCAATAAATATGGTTGAGAGTGACGCTTTTAAAAATTTGATTTACAATATTGAACCAGCGTATAATATGCCATCAAGAACATATTTTACGTACAAAGTTTTATTAGGTAACTCAAGTTGCTCCCATGTACATAGTTACTCCAAGAGGGTCTTGATTTTACTCCACATCGGTTTCTTTTTAGCCTTGTATAATGAGACACGAACAAAAGTTGAAGACATTTTACGAACTGCTAATGGTATTTCAATAACAACGGATTGTTGGACTTCAATTGCACACGAATCATACGTTACTGTAACAGCTCAATTTCTAACACAACAATTTGAAATGAAAATATTTATATTGGAAACTATAGATTTTTCAGGTAAGATCAGCGATTCATGAAATTTTGGAACCGAGTTTCAGATTCGGTACGCGCACGATATAAAATGGTTCATTCATATTTATTCTTTAGGTCGACACACAGCTGATGCTCTAGCAAAAAAGTTGCAGGAAATTTTCGAAGAATGGAATATAACGCATAAGATAGTATCAGTTGTAACAGACAATACAGCTAGTGTGAGGAATGCCGCCAAATTACTTCCATATGAAGACTGGGGTTGTTTCGCTCATTTACTCAATTTATCAGTAGTTAAAGGTATATTCTTAATTTTTTAATAATTCTCAGATTCAGCAGACACCTTTTTATACAGGTATCAATTTGATTCATGATGAAATCGATTTTGTCAGAAAAATTGTAATTTTCACTCGTCGAAGTACATTGGGTTTTGAGGAACTCAAAAGTGAACAAGACAAGCTTCAGCGACCCCATCGATCATTGATTATTGATGTAATCACTAGGTATGCTGTTTTCCTTAAACTTCATGCTTTTAAAAAATGCTATGGTGCTACAGTACTTTTATTTATAGATGGAACAGCATGTACTACATGCTTCAACGATTTATTGAAGAGAAACAAGCAATATTAGCGTGTTTAAGCAAGAAAGAATTTAGCAAAAAACTTCAAGACGTCAACACAATAGCAAGCATACGTTGGTCTGTTATTGAAGAACTGCTTTCAGTATTAAAACCATGGGAACAAGCCACTAGAGTAAGTAAAAATATGTATTGTTGCGCTCAGGATCTTTTTATCTTTTTATATCATATATATTCATTCTCATCTAGACTAAACAGAATGTCCATGATATAAAGCAACTTCTTATTTTGTTATCATATACGTGTGAAGATCACTGCTCTGCCTACTTTTTGTAGTTTATATCTCCTACTGTTTTGCTGAACTGATTACATCATGTTCTTGAAGAAAAGTCTGAGTAAAACATGATATAATCTACTATCCTAAGAAAGAATCTCAATTCTTACATCTAAAATTTTGTTATCGTATACTTGTGAAGATCACTTTTTTGGAAGGTCTGTTTTTCTGATATGGCTTGCCGCAATATGACCTCGACGTTTCAGCGTTACGAAATGTTTTTTTGCTGATGTTTTGGTGTCTGAAAATACTTTTTTGTTCAAAATCGCTTTTTATGCCATTGTAAAGTTGAGAACCTGTACGAAGGCGCAAAAGAGTGCCTTTTTTTCTCGTGCAGTTTTTGTGTATTAAATGCAATTGAAATTAGGACTTCAGACGAAAAATTAATTTTTAATTTTTGAGAAATTTTGAATAATATGAGTTTATGTCCGTGAATATAAATTTCCGCCGCGCAAAACTTTTAAAACTTTAAAATTCTGATTTTTGGAAATTTTTTAGTATCGTTTCTGCCCTTTTTTCTTCTAAGGTATTCTGATCCTGAATTTCTTTTTTCAAGCTTTTTCTGATTTTCTGTTTAGATCTGATATCCCTGGTTGTGAAGTTTAAAAAATTCGTATCTCTGCAACGAAAGGTCGTGGGCAGCCGGGAGCAGTCTTATTTTAATATATGACAAAGGATGGTGAAACTTGTATATCTGACAAAAGATTGTGAAATTTATATATATGACAACAGATGATGAAATCTCTAAGAAAAGGAATGAATAGCTGGTCAGTCGTATCTGTACGAAAAAAAGAAAAATAACTATCTTCCATAGTACCTATGTACTAAGGACGTAAGAAAAAAACTGAATAATAGGCGCGTGTGTACAATGACTGTATAAGGAGAGAAAACCAAAAGAAGAAAAGAAGACGATAACGTCATATCGGGATAAAATAATCATAAAGATACCATAAAGGGATCCTTAAGAGATCAAAAAAGGGGTGGATTCTCGCGTTTTCTCCCTTGCATAAACCCAGTCAAAATTTTTCATAAAAAGGATGGGTCCAGGCGCATCTTTTGCTGAGGACGCTCTTATGTAAAAATCGACTAGTCTGAAAAATCGAGATGGATCAGAATGTATCATATCTTTATGATCCTTTTATTATATCTTTATGATCCCTTTTTAAGTATTCGAAATCTTTAGATGTGTTTTTGTACCTTTCGTTTCATTATTATAATTGGTCAGTCAATATGAGTAATCAACAGTTTATTATTCGCTATTTAATCCGCACTGTCAGAACACACAAAGAACTCTTCTGTATGCCTCAAGACCAATATCTTGATACGTACGTTGCCTGTATGTACAATCCATACAGCCATGTCGCTTGCATGAGATGGATACTGTCAAGCATGAGGATTGTTTTTCATCTTCCTTTTAGAAATTTTTTGACTGGTTCTGAATAACTACGTATTAAAAGTAAAAAATCCGAACGAATCAAATTTGAGTGTTTGAGTATTAAGCTGAAAATGATTTTCTTCAATACCATCGACAAAATTTTTAATTTCATCGTTTTGTGGTGGATGTATAGTATCACACTGGATATGACCGTTAAAACAAATAATTTTAATTCGATGTAAATGTTTAATTTCAATTTTTGTACTGATTTTTGATATTTATATATTATATACAAATATCAAAAATATTTCTTTTTCATCTGCAATAATTACACGTAAACTCATCATATTATCATATTCGTACGTTTCAAATGTTTTTATTTTATCACCATATTGTATCAATAGTTTTTCTTTTGTAATACCTTGAAATTCAGTCAAAATTTGAATCAGATAGTGTGTTATGAATTAAAACGAATTCTTTTAGAGCATATTTTTTTCCGTGTATGAGTGGGGGGGGGGGGGGGGGGGGGGGGGGGGGGGGGGGGGGGGGGGGGGGGGGGGGGGGGGGGGGGGGGGGGGGGGGGGGGGGGGGGGGGGGGGGGG